TATCGATCTTATTAATTCTTTCAAAGAACCAACTTCTAGTTTCGTTGATCTGATCTACTGTGTTTCTGGTTTCTAATTCATTGATCTCTGCTCTAATCTTAATTATTTCTCTTCTAATGTGTGGCTTAGGCATCGTTTGTTGCTTTTTCTCTGGTTCTTTAAGGTGTAGAGTTAGTTGGTGAATTCGGGATTTTTCTATTTTTTTGAGTGAGGCTTGGATGGCTATGTATTTCCCCCTTAGGACCGCCTTTGCAGTATCCCATAGGTTTTGGACTGATGTGTTTTTGTTCTCATTGGTTTCCATGAATTGTTTGAGTTCTTCCTTGATTTCCTGGTTGACCCAAACATTCTTGAGCAGAGTGGTCTTTAGCTTCCAAGTGTTTGAATTTCTTCCAGATTTTTTCTTGTGATTGAGTTCCAGTTTTAAAGCATTATTGTCTGAGAATACGCAGGGAATAATCTCAGTCTTTTGGTATCGGTTGAGACCTGATTTGTGACCCAGTATGTGGTCTATTCTGGAGAAAGTTCAATGTGCGCTCGAGAAGAATGAGTATTCTGTAGTTTTAGGGTGGAATGTTCTGTGTATAACTATGAGGTCCATCTGGTCCAGTGTGTCATTCAAAGCTCTTTTTCTTTGTTGATTTTCTGCTTAGATGATCTGTCTGTTGCTGAGAGTGGAGTATTGAGGTCTCCTACAATTAATGTATTGTTATCAATATGACTCTTTATTTTGGTTAACTGTTGGCTTATGTAGATGGCTGCTCCCATGTTGGGGGCGTAGATATTTACAATTGTTAGATCTTCTTGTTGGATAGACCCTTTAAGAATGATATAGTGTCCTTCTGTGTCTCTAACTACAGTCTTTAGTTTAAAATCTAATTTGTCTGATCAAGAATTGCTATCCCAGCTTTCTTTTGAGGTCCATTGGCATGGAAGATGGATCTCCATCCCTTCACTTTCAGTTTGGATGTATCTTTAGGTTCAAAATGAGTCTCTTGTAGACAGCATATGGATGGGTCTTGTCTTTTTATCCAATCTGTAACCTTGTGCCATTTTATGGGAGCATTTAGGCCATTCACGTTGAGAGTGATTATTGAAAGTTATGAATTTATTGTCATCATGTTGCCTGTGAAGACCTTGTTTTTATAGATTGTCTCTGTAAATTTCTGTTCTATATCACTCTTGGGGTCTTTCTCCTTTTATATAACCCCCCTTAATATTTCTTGCAGGACCGGCTTAGTGGTCCCATATTCTTTCAGTTTCTGCTGGTCTTAGAAGCTCTGCATCTCTCCATCCATTCTAAATGACAGCCTTGCTGGATAAAGTATTCTTGGCTGCATGTTCTTCTCATTTAGTACCCTGAATATGTCTTGCCAGCCCTTTCTGGCTTGCCAGGTCCCTGTGGACAGGTCTGATGTTATTCTGATGTTCCTCTCTCTGTACGTAAGGAATCTCTTCCCCCTAACTGCCCTTAAGATGGTTTCCTTGGTTCTAAAGATTTGCAAGTTTTACTCTTACATGCCAGGGTGTTGGCCTCTTTTCCTTGATCTTGGGAGGGGTCCTCTCTGCCTCTAGGACATGAATGTTTGTATCATTCCCCAGATTAGGGAAGTTCTCAGCTATGATTTGCTCAAATATATCTTCTAGTCTTCTCTCTCTCTCTCCACCCCCCTCAGGGATCCCAGTAATTCTGACATTGGAACATTTCATGGTGTCACTTATTTCTCTGATTCTATTTTCATGGATTCTGAGTTGTTTTTCCCTGGCCTCTTCTTTTCCCGTTTTGTCTGTTAATTGGTCTTCTAAATCACTAATTCATTCTTCTGCCTTACTTACCCTAGCTGTTAGATTATCTAGATTAGATTGGATCTCATTGATAGCATTTTTAAGTTCTGCCAGTTCAGCTTTCATTTCTGCCCTTAGAGACTCTATGTTGCCATTAATTGATTTCTCCATTCTAGCTATCATCTTCACAATTGCTACCCTGAATTCCAGCTCCGACATCTTGGTTATATCTGAATCCATTTGTAAATCTGTGGCATAAGTCATAGTCTCTGAGTCTTTCCTATTTTGGGGGTTCCTCCTCCTTGTCATTCTGTTGAGTGGTGGTTGAGGGAATGTACAGAGTCCAAATTATTGACCACAACCCAAGCAAGATGCACCTGTTTTCTAGGGACCTTAGGGTTGCTGGCCTCTTGTTTTCCCAGCCTGTCTTCTGGGGGAGGGGCCTGCCGCGCTGTTACTCAGGCAGCCCTGTTTGGGCAGAGTTGCCCTGCCCCCTAAGGCGGGGGATGGGCTCAGTGGAAACTGTTTTTTGGGGGCTTTTGTTCCCTGGTGGCTTTCCCTGGCGGCTTTCCATATCTCTTCCGAGAGTCAGAGCAGAAGAGACCATTTCCTCTGCCTCAGAGCGGCGAGATCACAGCCTGTTCTTCAGTGAGCTCTCCAGGCCACACCTTCTCCGTTTCTGTCTGTGCTGCTATAAACTGCAGTCCTGGGTTGTGCACCCCTCAGCAGCGTTCCCAGTCCTCACCTCCAAGTCTGGGCACGTCTCTGCCCTTTGTGCTTCTAAAACTGCCAGCCACCCCAGTTCGTGTGCCCAGCCCTGCCGCTTCGGGTTTCCATCCAGGAGGCTGCCCTAAAGTCCTTTCCCCACTGCTTCCGGTCTGCGAGTCTGTGCCCAGTCCCCAGCTTGGGAGGCTATGGCTCACTGGTGGTGTAGGATCCCAATGGCTGGGCTCCCTCCCCCTTCCTTTTATCCTCTGATATGTGCCCGTAGAATCACAGTTCCCTGCTTCGTACCTTGAAACCAAATGCCTGCAATATTCTGTTTGTAGAGATCCAGATCTATCTTTTTACATCTCAAGCTGATTTCATGGGTGTTCAGAGTGCTCTGGTAGATATCCAGCTCAATTCCGGGGACTGGTTGGAATAGGGTCCCCTACTCCTCCGTCATCTTTTCCCTCCTCCTTATTCAGCCTTTAAAAAGAAGGAATGACACATGCTATATCATGGATGAATCTTGACGACATTATGTTGAGTGAGCTAATAAGCCAGCCACAAAAGGATGGATACAGTATGGTCCACTTATATGATGTATCTAGAGTAGTTAAAGTCATAGAGACAGAAAGTAGAATGGTCAGGAACTGGGGGAAAGAAGAAACGGGGAGGTATCATGTAATGGGTAGAGAGTTTCCATTTGGGAAGATTTTTTAAAGTTCTGGAGATGGATAGTGGTGATGGTTGCACAACAGTGTAAATGTATTTATTGCCATTAGAGTGTACATTTTATGTAATGGTTAAAATGGTAAATTTTATGTGGTGTGTATTTTACCATAATATAAAAGAAAGATGTCTGCCAGGACTGCAATTATCTTAAGGTTTGACTGGGAATAGAGAATCTATTTAAAAACCCACTCATGTGGTTTTTAGAAGTCTTAAGTTTCTCACTGGCTGTTGGCCAAAGGTTTCAGTTTCTTACTGTATACACTCAAGTATACTCACAATATGGTGGCCTGTTTTCCCCAGAGCAAGTAACTCAAGATAGGTAGTCCTTGTATAATCTCAAAAGTGGCATCTGTCACTTCTGTGGTATGCTATTGGTCACACAGACCAACTTGGTTCAATGTGGGAAGGGACCCCACAAGAGTGCAAATATTAGGAAGTGACATCACTCAGGGCCATCTTGGATTGGATGCCACACACAGTTTTCACCTTCTCTCCTCTGGTAGTGAGAGTATGAAGATCCAGTTCACCTGCTCCATCTCCACGAAGTCCCACCCCAGTACCTCTAAGAAGATCTTCTACCCTTTGTTTTTGTTTAGACTCTCTCCAGATTCCCCATCACCACCCTCTGCTGTGTCCCCACCATTTTCCGGCTGCTGGTACAGGAGGATCTCACCAGGTACAGCCAGCCCATCTGTTTGGTGCTTTGGGGACCTAAGTCTGTGGGTATACAGCAGTATATGTACACATGCACACCAATCCTCTCGACCAACTCTGTCTCATCTCTCCCTCTCCCTCTCTCTCTCTATATATATACACACATATCTGTGATTCTTTCTCTCTATACAGAATATATATCTAGAATATTATATATATCTGCGTTCCTCTATCTCACACACACACACGCTCAAGCATACACATCTATATCCTTTGCAGATGCCCCCCCAAAATGAACTTCTGCACCACCACCTCCTGCCCAGGAATTTGCATCCAGATGGAATTGGATAGATTTAAGATAGTCTGAAATTTTAGCACTTGAGGTGGGCTGTCTCTCCACAAGGGCATCTCTCAGCAGTATGTCTGCTACTTCTGGGAAGTTGGAGAAATTGTTGGATAATTGTTAGCTACCTGTGGAGTGGGATTTGTGGCCAGGGCCTTGGGTTTGGGGGACCAGCAACCCTACTGTAGTAGATGTTCCATCCCTCAGCCCCAGACTAACTCCATTTAGCCACTCTCTGAGTGAATGCCATTGGACATCCCACGGAAGGCAACAAGACACTGTGTACATGTGGCTCCCATCCTGGGTGAATCCAAAGGAACATCTGCTAGCAGGACAAGTCTAGTTGCTGAGGTGTATGGACAGAGACCTATGACCCTTCAGTTACTTACTGAGTCTGATCTATGTCTGCCTCTTCTATTCTCTCCTCTCATCCCATGTATCTGTCCATGAAGCACCTAAGGGGGAGTTCTTACATGATTCCCCTGGTGAATTCTTCTCTAATGTAAGAATTTATCCCATTCATTGATCTGTCATGTATACCTCAAGATCAAGATTTTAACTGCAAGCAGACTCTGAATAACTTGTTGAAGAACAGTTTGGTTGAAAGGTACTAGGTAATACTAATTAATAGTCAAACCAAGTTTATCCAAAGGAAAAAAAGTGGTTAAAATGTATTTGCAACCACCAATTTTTTACATTTTGGATAATTTGTTGAATGGAGGGGTAGTTTTACAACATATGTAGGAATTTTTGGCTCATTTGTCAGAATTGTCAGATTCCTAGGGGGCTACTTTCTACCTTTTAAATTTGTAATCAATTTATCTTTTCTTCTTAAAAAGATTTTATTTATTTATTTGAGAGAGAGAGAACACAAGCCGGGAGGGGAGGGGCAGAGAGAGAGGGACAAGCACGTTCACCGCTGAGCGGGGAGCCAGGTGCAACGCAGGGCTCAATCCCAGGACCTTGAGATCATGATCCGAGCCGAAGACAGACGCTTAACTGAGTCACCCAGGTGCCCCATGTAATTGGTTTATCTTTTTTAACCAGGTGGTTGTCCTAACCAATTTATCAGTTTGTTTTCAACTAAGTTATTTTGGCCAGTTCACCTGGAGTTCACTATGTTATGCCAAAACCTACTTATTATGAGGTTCCGATTTTATTCCAAAATCAGTTAGGATTGATTTTTTAAAAAATTATCCGCCCATGAGGAATATGCCTGCAAAGCCAGAGGATGGGGCACTTGGAACAGATGATAAAGCCTGGACTTTACCCTCTAGATGTCTAGACCTGAGCAGCATTTTTGGGTCCTGTCAGGGGTGGAGGGATCCTGACCCAGGTGGTCTTGTTTCCCAACTGAGAAAGGTACCAGTTTCAGAGCCTGAGGCACTGTTTGACTGGAGGAGAGGCACTGAATCCTGACGTGAGAGAGAAGTGGAAGAGCCAGGTGGGCCTGGAGCTGCATGAAGGCTATGGCCAGTCTGAAACAGTGAGTGCTACTGGGGCCCGCGTCCCTGCCGCAGGTCACCTCCACCTGCACCCTCAGCCACTTGGTGGAGATGACCAGCCCGCAGAGCCTCCTGCCTTCCTGGCTGTGACACCCATCAGGGACTGCCCTGCCCCCTGGGAGAAGCTGATAACAAAATCCCATCAGCTTTTCTTCCCTTTTGGTTTAAACATAAAGTGATTTCACAATGACACCATAGCCAGCAAACCTACTCTCATGACTGCAGATACCATTTGTCTCCACCAGGACAGCCTCCATCAGATACCAGGACAGCCTCCATCTGTCTCTGGTCAGAGCCCAGGATCTTACCCAGTATTCCTCACAGCCATCCGGGCAGCAGAGAGTCGGTCAACTGAGTCTTTTGGCTTAGCGACACATTTGGTTCTTTATGTGTCAGTGTCCAGTAGGGCATTCAATAAATGTTTGTTGACGTTGGAAAGAAGAGAAGGAAGGGAGAGAAATGAAGAGCAGGTCAGAGAGGGGAGAGGGAAGGAGAGGTACAAGGCAGAGTGAGAGAAAAGGCGGACACCAGGAAGGGAAGAAGCTACAGGGATACGTCTCCACCTTTCTGGACCTGCTTTCTCTCCAGGTTTTAATCTGTGCCAATTCAAAAGGCATGAAAATCAAGTCTGGATCCATGGGGAAAGCATCGCCACCTTACGATGTGCAGGTAGGCAGCCTCCCTCAACTGTTGTTGAGGCTTGGCTCAAAGGGGAGAGCAAAATGCATGTGCTGGTTAGCATCAGCAGGCTCAACTGGTGGGGTGGTCTGGCTGTGCAGATATCCAGACACGGCCCTGTGATCTCTCTGCCAGATCGTGGATGATGAGGGCAACATCCTGTTTCCAGGAGAAGAGGGGAATATTGCTGTCCGAGTTAGGCCCACCCGGCCCTTCTGTTTCTTCAATTGCTATTTGGTAAGTGGCAGGGAATGGCCATTTTCACAGTGATTTCTGTGTGTCGAGCATTGGTTCTAAGATTTATAAACACTTACTTGTTTAGCCCTTGTAATAACTGTATGAGGTAGGTTGGCACTATTATTGATAAGGTGCTATTATTGATAAGGAAATGAGAAAGATTGACTTATCCAATGTCAGGCAACTAGTATGTCCAGGATGTGGATTTAAGCATGGGTATGTCTGAGAGTGCAAATTTATAACACGGGACACCCCATCATTTTAATGATGAGAATTTTTTTATAAAGATTTTCTTTATTTATTTGAAAGAGGGAGAGCGAGCATGAGAGAGCACAAGCAGGGGGGAGTGGCAGGCAGAGGGAGAAGCAGACTCCCCACCGAGCAAGGAGCCCAATGTGGGGCTGGATCTCAGGATCCCGAGATCATGACTTGAGCTGAAGGCAGCCATTTAACCACCTCAGCCACCCAGGTGCCCCTAATGATGAGAAATTGCAGCTCAGAGAAGAGAAGGGACTTCACAAAAGTCAAACTGCAATTTGTGTCAGAGCCTAGTTTCAGGATTCTTTTTGTCTTAAGTCTTGTGTGGCTCAGAGGGGGTCTGCTGGCAGGGCTTGTGTCCTAGGATTCTAGTCTAAGTTTCTATGATAATCCAGGAATGACCTCTCCCTTGTGCCTGCTTTGGTGGGTGTTTATGATGCGCTTTCTTTTTGTTAGACCCTTCTCTATAAAGCTCTACCGACATGGTTTTCAACTTTGGTGGCACATTAGAAAACCGTGGAAACTTCAAAACATGACTGGTACTCAAGCCCCACTTGATGAGATTAAACTTTCTGATGATGTGGATCAGTTCCCCTGGTGATTCAAAAGTGCAGCCAAGGTTGAGAACCATGGCTTTGTAAGGAATTCCATCTGGCATGTATATGATGCCATCCATCAGCTACAACACTGGAAGGAAGAAGTAAAGATAAGTCCATTTGTTTTTAGAATGGTGGGTATGTATTTTAGTGGCTTTTTTGTGACTACAAGAGAGATAGTCTTTCATGGTATTTCATTTAAAGTCACAGAAACTTACCTACCAGAATAAACAAACAAACAACCCCCCCCAAAAACCCCAAACAACAACACAGTAATACAGCATGCAGAGATAATTTTAAAATTTTAGCGTATTTCCGTCTAATCATTTTGTAAGCAATAGCAAATCCTTGACTTTTCTGAATAATTCATTATTTATTGAGTGGCTACTTCATGCCACTAAGTCTATAGCAATGACAGAAGGACAAGACCCTGGTCCTCACAGGGCTCACATACAGGACCTTTCTGGGTCTGTGATCATTCCACTGAGAGAGTCAAGTAATTTGTAGAGTTATTTGCTGGACAGGAATCTTTACTTTTTTCAACTGTTTCTTTTCAGCACCAGCTGTTAGTTTTCTTCTTGGGTCATTTTTAACTAAGGAAATAAAAAAGCCATTAAATCTCAGTATTATGCTAAGCAAAGTAAGTCAGTCAGAGAAAAACAAATACCATATGATTTCACTCCTATGTGGAATTTAAGAAACAAAACAGACGAACATAGGGGGAAAAAAGAGGCAAACCATAAAACAGACTCTTAACTATAGAGAACAAACGGGGTTGATGGAGGGGAGGTGGATGGGGAGTGGAGATGGGTATTAAGGAGGGCACTTGTGATAAGCACTGGGTGTTGTAGATAAGTGATGAATCACTAAGTTCTATTCCTGAAACTAATATACTATATGTTAACTTGAATTTAAATAAAAACTAAAAACTAATAAAAATAAAAAGATAAAAAAATCTCAGTGAGAAAAAAGTGATCTGTCTTGTCAACTTGGTCAGAAATAAAAGTTTGATATATTCATACATAGCTAGGTTTTGGCAGTTTCTTCTATTTAGTTGGTCATTTGTTTTATCCCTGTACTGATACCATAGAGCCTCATCCAGGGAAACATTCTCATAACTCTTTAATCAAGCCTCTCCTTCTTCCTCAACTTCTTTAGAAATATTTTACCTACTCTCAGCTATCTACTGTCTCATGTGCATTTTAGAATCAAATTGTCAAATTCCATGGAAAATGGTTAATGAGTGTCACTAAGTCTGTAGATCAATTTGGGAGAATTAACATATCTATGATATTAAGTCTTTGTATCCTTCCATTTATATCTTCTTTACTGTTTTGTAGAGTTTTTTTTTTTTAAAGATCTTATTTATTTGACAGAGAAAGAGAGAGCACAAGTAGGCAGAGTGGCAGGCAGAGGGAGAGGGAGAAGCAGACTCCCAGCGGAGCAGGGAGCCCTATGTGGGGCTCGATCCTAGGACCCTGGGATCATGACCTGAGCCAAAGGCAGATGCTTAACCGACTGAGCAACGCAGGCACCCTGTTTTGTAGAGTTTTAAGTTTTCTTTTTATACTTCTTTCAGATTTTGTGTGAGATTTATTTTAAGGTATTGACAGCTTAGCTTTTTGCTTTTTTCTCTGAATGCAGTTTTAAAATTGAGGCATAATTTACATACAGTAAGTGTACCTACGTTACATGTATATAGGTCAATGACTTTTGACCCATGTATACACTTGTGTGACCACCACCACAATCAAGATATACAACATTCTTATCACCCCAGAGAGTTCCATTGTGCCCTCCAGCAGTCATTCCCCAAGCCATTGGCAATTGATAAATTATTTGGTGTTGCTAATAGAATACTTTTGCCTTTTTTTTTTTAAAAGAACTTTATGTAAATGGAATCATAAAGCATTCATATTTGTATATCTGGTTTCTTTTTTTTTTAAGATACGTATTTATTTGACAGAGAGAGAAAGCATACAAGCAGGGGGAGAGGCAGAGGGAGAGGGAGAAGCAGGCTCCCTACTGAGTAGGGAGCTGGCATGGGGCTCGATTCCAGGACCCTGGGATCATGACCTGAGCCAAAGGCAGACGCTTAACCAACTAAGCCACCCAGGCACCCCTGGTTTCTTTTTCTTTTTCTTTTTTTAAAGATTCATTTATTTATTTGAGAGAGAGAGAGAGAACACAAGCAGGGGGAGCGGCAGGCAGAGGGAGAGGGAGAGGGAGAAGCAGGCTCCCCGCTAAGCGGAAGACCTGACGTGGGGCTCGATCCCATGACCCTGGAATCCTGACCTAAGCCAAAGTCAGATGCTTAACTGACTGAGCCACCCAGGTGCCCCCTGGTTTCTTTTTTTAAAAAATTCATTTATTTTATTTTTTAACTTAAATTTTACTTAGTTAATATACAGTGCAATACTGGTTTCTGGAGCAGAATTCGGTGATTCATCACTTACATACAACACCCAGTGCTCATCACACGTGCCCTCCATCGCCCATCTAGCCCATCCCCGATCCACCTCCCTCCATCAACCCTCAGTTTATTCCCTATCATTTAGAGTCACTTAATGGTTCATTTCCCTCTCTCCTTTTTTTCTTCCCCCCCTTCCCTTATGTTCATCTCTTTTCTGTCTTAAATTCCACATATGAGTGAGATCTATGGTATTTGTCTTTCTCTGACTGACTTATTTCACTTAGCATAATATACTCTAGCTCCATCCATGTCATTGCACATGGCAAGATTTCATTTTTTGATGGCTGAGTAATATACCATTATATATACATACCAAATATACATGTATACATAGATATGATACACACACACACACACACCACATCTTCTTTATCCATTCATCAGTCAGTGGACACTTGGGCTCTTTCCATAGTTTGGCTATTGTTGATAATGTTACTATAAACATTGGGATGCATGTAACCCTTTGAATTTGTATTTTTGTATCCTTTGGGTAAATATCTAGTAGCACAATTGCTGGATCATAGGGTAGTTCTGTTTTTAACTTTTTGAGGCACCTTTATACTATTCTCCAGAGTGGCCATACCAGTTTGCATTCCCACCAACAGTGTAAGAGGGTTCCCCTTTCTCCACATCCTCGCCAACACCTGATGTGTCCTCTGTTGTTATTTTTAGCCATTCTGACAGATGTGTGATATCTCATTGTGGTTTTGATTTGTATTTCCCTGATGAGTGATGTTGAGCATCTTTACATGTGTCTGTTAGCCATCTGGATGTCTTCTTTGGAAAAGTGTTTATTCATGTCTTCTGCCCATTTCTTAATTGGATTGTTTGTTTTTTGGGTGTTAAGTTTGGTAAGTTCTTTATAGATTTTGGATACTAACCCTTCATCACATATGTCATTTGCCAATATCTTCTCCCATTCCATAAGCTGCCTTTTAGTTTTGTTGATAGTTTCCTTCGTTGTGCAGAAGCTTTTTATCTTGATGAAGTCCCAATAGTTAATTTTTGCTTTTATTTTCCTTTCTGGCATTGTGTCTGGTAAGAAACTGCTACGGGCCAAGTCAAAGAGGTTTCTGCCTGTGTTTTCCTCTAGGATTTTGATGGTTTCCTATCTCACATTGAGGTCTTTCATCCATTTTGAATTTATTTTTGTGTATGGTGTAAGAAAGTTTCACTCTTCTGCATATTGCTGTCCAGTTTTCCCAACACCATTTGTTGAAGAGACTGTCTTTTTTCCATTGGAAATTTTTTTCTGCTTTATCGAAGATTAGTTGACCATATAGTTTTGGGTCCATTTCTGGGTTCTCTATTCTGCTCCATTGATTTATTTGTCTGTTTTTGTGCCCGTACCATACTGTCTTGATGACTACAGCTTTTTAACATAGCTTGAAATCTGGAATCGTGATGCCTTGTTTTGTTTTTCTTTTTCAGGATTACTTTGGCTATTTAGGGTGTTTGTGGTTCCATACACATTTTAGTATTGTTTGTTCTAGGTCTGTGAAAAATGCTTGTGGTATTTTGATAGGGATACATTAACTGTGTAGTTTATTTTGGATAGTATAGACATTTTAACAATGTTCTTCTAATCCATGAGCATGGAATGTTTTTCCATTTCTTTGTGTCCTCTTCAATTTCTTTCATAAGTGTTCTATAGTTTTCAGAGTACAGATCTT